TAGTCGTTAAAAAGCAAACGATGACGAATTTTCTGGAGATGTTTAGCCTTGTCGAAACTCATATCATTCCAAGATCAGCCTAGTTAACTCCTACTATTGTCGTTAAAACCCGTGTTCAGTTTTTATTTATTTTGAACTGGTTCTGGCAAGTAGATTTCCATCTACCCAGTAATCGTCCTTTAGGATATCACTGTCCTCAGTTTTTTCGAAGATATTTGCAATTTAGTGACTTTTCTGAAGGAACCTGTGAATTCTAGCTAGATCTGGTGTGAAAATCTGTTTTGCCCTGTGTTTTTTAAATATAAGCTCAATTTAACCAGTTGGAAGCAAAATGAAGCAAAGTGGAGATTAGGAGGACGGGCCTATCCTCTTAAAATGAACATAGAGGATTGCTTCAGGCTAAGAGAGGCCGAATTAAGCTATCGGACGACGGCTGATGGTTGAACTACACATCTTTTGTTCACTCCAACCTCGTAATTTATGCGCACCTGAGAAGTCGGTGCAATAGCCACTTATTTAGTGCCTGTTTTAGAACCTTCATAATCTAATATGGGCGTTTTCGTTCATATTTCTGATCAGATAAAACTGCCTAAGACCCCATTCATCTTCCCAGTAGCAGAACTTCGGCAACTAAAATGAGCCATCAGTGTGTTCGCGTAAAATGAACAGTCGGTCAACGCACTGACCGACGCAATTACCACCATACCACCTTCTTTGCACGTTTCCAGCGACCCTGTCAACCATTATCACAGGCACCATGATTCCGAGTGCGGGTTAGCAGAACCTAAAGAAACGTGACATGACTTCAATCAGTACACCCTGGAAGCCACGTATCGTTAAATGTACGATATCTTTGACAGCAGCTCAGTGAACTTTGCGAGTCTGCCATCCACTGGGAACGCACTAGAACTGCCGGCAAACAAATTGCCATGCGACATTGGTTAATCATGCGCAGACGAAGTCGTTTCGCTCGATGTTATTGTTTACCCTTAAGCAAAACGTTGGGTGACATGAAAATCAAACAGCAGGAGCCGAATCCCTAAAATGTGGTGAAATGTCTCGCGATAGAAGCCATCTTCGAAGCATCGATCTTCCACAAAGGCATGGGCGCGTAAACTCAAGTCCAAATCTCTGATGACGCTGTGGCTGCCCAGGGCCGGATTAATAACGGACCTCTTGAAGGATGTTAAGCACTACGAAAGTCGTTTATTGAGCTCCGCGACCACATGACAACCACATCTGTTAGTGTTTCCAGACCCATGTTGCTCTTCACACGGGATGGTACTCAGACCCCGATGATTAGTAGCCCTAAACCTTACTTATTATGAGCTGACTCTTTTCCACATCACGTGGCCCAATCCTGACTCCTCGATGGTACTAAACTAGCTGTGCATCCAACTGGTCGACCAAAAACAGCTTATTCAGGATACTCAGCTGTGTTTCCATATGCAAAATCAGTTTTTAATATATGACCTATCGTTTATGCTGAAGCCGACCCATATACGTCCGCTTGACGACCAAAAGTGAATAAATCTTGAATAGACAAGCACATACCAATGGGTATGCTATGTTCCTGGGTGCAGCGGTCTGTCAGGAGGACTGTCTGCACTGGAAATAAATAATTCTGAATGAGCTGCGGTGCCAGCTCATCGACTTCTTTGGCGATATACCCCAGCCCTTCATATATTTGTTGACTATCGTCATCAGTCGGTAAATTATTTGTCCCAGTTAGACTGCCCAACATCCAGTCCAGTAGGTCTCAAACAATGTCTCAGTGTTCTTTAGTAGTAAAAATCTTGGCGGAGTTCGATAAGCTAAATATACTGAAAGGCGAAGAGTTTAGCCAATTTCATCTCACAACAGATGCGTTTAGAAGTGCGAATGGTTTAGGAGTATGTCTGTAGTTTCGATTTACCTCGTAGAAATGCCGTGAGAGAGGCCTCTATCTAACCCATCAAAGTCCTGATCAATCGAAATATAAGGATTTTAAATACGTATTTTTAGAATATCAATAGGGCTTTTTGGTACGACTGGCATTTTCTAAAATGGTTAGTTTCGTTTTTAGCAAAAGTAAAAGTCCCTAATACTTTTCTATCACATCTCTTCCATGCGAAAGTGGCGCGCATTTTTACAGAGTAACCTTTTCTTTTACCAAATAAATGCACATTTACGGTGGAGGGGGATGATGCGCCACTTTACCTACCTGGTATGGCTGTAACTGTTTTAAGCGCCCGAAGAACCCGCAGGGATCGTAAAGCAGAAAGATTTCCCAGACTTGGCACCACGAACATCATATAACTAATAAAAAGACAGAAAGAAATTCAGAGAAGATGGTTCATACAAATTGGGTCCGCAACATTCCAGGTTCGAGACAGAACCTTTGAAATCCTTTGGAGAATTTTATGAACCTTAATAAGGGCGACTCTGCTCACTTCGATAAAGAAGTCGAACGCTCTCTGTCCATGAAAAGAAGGTAATTTAAATCAACTTTTGCGCAGATATCTTGACTTTGGGAAGAAACCAGGCAGAACTGTGGCTTGTAAATTCTTGTTACATTTCTGGGACAAGATTCACTTTCGAAGGAGCCCCTTTGACGCTAGTGTCCTAAAGCTATCATTTTGCGAGGTTCGAGACCATCTACACCCAAAATGACGCCACGTGACTACCCCGTCAGTGTACTAATTGACGATGGACATATACTGATCGCTCCTGGATATTCCTGCTCCCTGTCGGATCCAAAGTACGAACCGTTGGATGGTGCATTAATACTAGTAGTATTAACCGCAACGTTCGTTACTGTTTTGCCGTTAGTTGCTGGGTAGGTAAGCTGTCCCGTTTTCCTTTGAGGCCTAGGTATAACCTTAATGTACTAATGGAACGAGTGTGTAGAGATATTTGCCTCTGACCATACGGACTGAGAGCCGATCATAACAGTAAGCAGTCGCGCCCAACCCTTCCTATACTAGGAGTAGCAATGCTGCAATCGAAACCATCCAGGCTAGTCTGAATTCGTTAATTGAATCGGAGTAAACCTTATCAGACTGTACAGTTGACATTAAGAGAACAAAAAAATATAAATGGTGTTATTTCCCTAGAGTTCGACCTAGCTGCCTATAAGAAAAAGTGATTTTCTACATTGGCAGTTCGACCGTCGTGACTGACGATGTCCACCGTTTGATCCACAGCAAGGTGGAAACAGGCACGGTGACGTGTGCGTGGACTAGTTTTTAGTGTTAGTAGACTTACGCAGCATCTACCGCACTCTGAGCTCATCCCCCATCTGGGCCCGGTGTCAAGGCAAAGTCAAGAAGACCAGAGGCTGGAGGGGGCGCGGATGGCTGGCACTGCCGGACCCACACCTAGGCGTACTACCACACCCCTTGGTCCACAGCAAACACTTGGCTAGAATTTTAACCAATAACAAAAGTAGGAGACGGCAAGAATCTCAGTTGGGACGACGTGAGCCGGCAACTGGGCCTGCCATCACACCCCGAAATGTTGACATTTGTTATGGTGTGCATTCTGATAACGCCTGTCAGATTCTGATATGGCCTCCGCGTTGGTCGAGTGCATCTGCCACGTGATCCGTTTTAATGGCATATGAATGCGTATTTCAGTATATTTTCAAAAGGTTTTCTGATAATTCTGCAGTAAAGTTGCTCAAATGTGATTTTGGTTAAATCAGGAAGGCTTTTTAGGTGGTAAGATGTGCGTAGATCTCTTCAACTCATTAGTATGGAGTGATTTTTGATATGTCCCAGGAAGAACTTCGGTCTCTGTTAGATCGATGGGAAACCGAGACTTTCCTACAGGGCTATTAGGAAGACTGTGTAGTTTTCTGGCTCATTCAGATATCTACTGAACAAAGTTTGGCGTAAAGATTTTATTTCGTGTAACGTGCTAGGAATCTTTGTTGATCAAGATAATTGTCCTGCTCGTGGTCTTCCAAGATGGCGCTCTTCTTTCTTGACATCGGTCATAAGGGTGTTCTTTTGCCCGCTCTCCAATTCCTTAGTTAATGTCATGGCGTATTTTCACATTAGTAAGTCCCCGAGACATAAAATCTGAAGATAACTCACGCCAGCATTATAACTATAAAGTCTAGCCAATTCCAGGCATCACGTAGGTATGTGAAGTCATCAATGATGAGGCCGCAGGCGATCACCTTGATGCAGGCTTCGCAGGTGTAGAAGACTGTAAATACAAGTCTAGGAAGAGAGGGAGAGAGATAGAGCATCAGTGGACTAAATGAAGAGAATTAGTTACGAGGAAAGACTTTCTATTGAACAAAATACAAAACATGCGCCTGATATGTATTATTTAACTCCAGCTACCCGTTGGTGTACACATTATTTTTTATCACTGGCTTGCATCTGAAATCATATTAAACCAAAGCGAGTGATGTACACTGGCACCACTTTCACTACGCTGAAGGCATGACGGCTGCTTTCCAAACTACCTTGGCACGACCTCTCGACAGTTAGTGAAGAAATGCCTATTCGGACAAAGATGCATGTATATCAGCAAGAGGGTGTACGACTTACTCAACAAGTTTTGAGGAGTCGTTTAAGGCCATAAACACACAATTTACGAGAATCGCTGTGAGGACGACCATGCTGAACATTGTGGAAGTTCCAGAATTCCCGGCGATTAGATGAGTTAAGGAGAAATGGTGATACGAATGAATAGGAAAATTGGCCAGGATAAAAATACGAGACTTACAGCTTAACAGACTGACGCCATTAAAATGACAGCTTGAGAAGTTGAAGCGGGAACTGGACAAGGCGAATACTACTGCATGTTGCGCGGCCAGTGGTCTGTCAGTTTGCTGGTTTTTTGAACGAAGTCTGTTTGACGACCAGACAGTGTTACGTCTTCTTGAAGCGTTTTGCAGCCTGCTATTTTCTCAAGATACGTACGTCAGAATAGAAAAGTAGCACATGTTCACTAGTATGGCTCAAGAAACGAATAAAATCTGGCAAAATAGCTCTAAATGTAAATCAAAAAGCAGAGCAGGCCTTATGAAGAGTTGGAAAAGGATATGGATGAACCATGGCATAGATGGCCGCCAGTCTTATCGGATTGAATGGACCAAAGACGAAGAGTGAGGGGGTAAGGCTCAGACGAAATATCGTTTTGTCCCCGCTTATTACGACAAAACTCTATAATGCGAAAAAGACATTCAAGTTATCTTTTATACTGAATAGCTCTGTCCTAATTAGCTGAGATGGGGATACAGCCTTAAACAGGTCAACGTTTCGGAAACCCGAGATGGCACGTCTCAAATAGAACTTTAGGCGAATGGGCACAACTAACTTCGTTCACTTTCGTTGACAGCTGTTATTAGTGCTTTTAATGGCAGATTTTAAGCAACTAGAAATGACCCCGTATAACGCAAATACGCCATCATCAAAAGTAAAATTCAGTGAAGAGCTTTACTTAGGTTAATTTAGTATAGATTTTAAAGTTTATCTAGCATAACCTGTAAAAGTTTTCAGCCACATTGCTTGGACCGCGCTCACTTTCTGCAGAATTCTACTGTCCACTTGATCACATTACCAACCTGAAAAAATTGGCCCACCTTCCTCATGGTCGTCAAGTTCTAGAGGTATGGCTTTTGAACTTCTAAGCCCCACTAAAACGGATGCATGAGAACGAGCGAGTACAATATTTTTCCACATACGAGAACTGAACCACAATTTTGCCTTTGAGAAAGCGAGGGTAATTGGTCGAGCCAATGAGAAGATGGCCAGACTGGTGCTCGAAAGTTGGTCCTCGACTGGTACACTCAACCGAGCTATAGATCTACATCCCGCCTACCAAGCACTGCGTACAAGGCTCGGATCAGTCCGGACAGGACCAGTAAGGCAAGCGAGCACGCGGGACCAAGAGTCAACGCTCACGGAAAAGAGCGGAATTGGGGGCCAGAGGTCATGTGACCAAAGCCGAACACTGTCTCACCTATGCGCCCGCGAAGCTGAATGCTGCTCACCTGAACAGCAACGACCGATCAGTCCACCGGCTGACGTGGGAGGGGCCAAGCGGCACGTTGATTTGACCACAACTAAGCCGACCCCAAAGGGAACAATGGTCACGCAGGCCTATCAGCGGTCAGCTCCGGGGAGGTCTAAGCCAGTCAGCGGCAAACAGGCAGGTCAAAGTTCGTGCGTCCAGCACGGCTATAATACGAGGCAGGCGGCAAGACTGAATAACTCAAGACCCGCAAGTGCAACAATTACGCTACTCTGATGATGGAAACGAGGAAGTTTCCGAAACGTCAGTTCGAATACAATATGGTCCACGGATTCGCCCTCTCTTCTTCTTCGTCTTCTTCGGGAGATGATGAACGCGATACAATGTCTGGACCTCGAATCTTTACGCATATCGAAATATTTTTCCTGTAAGTTGCATTGACAGTTCGACCATCGCGGACGATGACATCAACATTGCACCCCACGGAGTAGGCGCAGCGCACAAGATTTGCGCGTGAATTAGTTTATAGGGGGAGACTTGCACGTATCTACTGCACTCCTGTCTCATCCACCTGGATCAGACGGCAAGAAAGGGCAAACCGACCGGAGTTAGACGCGGGTGTTTGGAGGCTGGCAAGGCTATGCAAACAGTCTAAATGTGTCACACACGACTCGGTCCCCACCACATGTAACAGAATACAGTAAGGTGAACTCGGGCCTCACACCAGTGGGGGTGCCATTGAGGCCACAGTGAGCAGGCAATGATGTCTGACCCTCAGTTCTCCAGAGACTCCCACCTAGACCGAGCCATCCCGTCAGTCGGCAACCTCCCCAGTCATGACTTTTAACTCGCCGTTGTTGATTCGATCGCGTCAATATATATATATATATATATATGCATGTCAAGTGGGCGTTTGACCCTCTATGTTGTGGTTAGGATCTCACTCGATCCCATTCTGTCCACCCGCCAACTTGCTACTGGCGACAACGAATGCTATGTCATAGGACACATACCACATACAATACATAGGCAGCTCGCTAAGAGTGCAAGAGGCCAGTCTCAGACATGCGTATTTACCTCACCTCATAAGGCCTATGACGTACTCATGATCGGTAATGACCGTGAAACAGCTGTCTGCGTCTGGCCTGTTGCAGTCTTGGCGGACTGCTCATGTATTATATATATGCATTGGTTTTCATCTGTTAACAATGATTCTCGTTTGATACTTCGACGCTTCGACAGGCATTCATATAGCGTGCCTTTTGATGGGGAGTTTGAACTACCACTTATAATCTGCTTATCCAGCCTGTTAATGAGATATCAGTTATCGATCTAAGGTGCCATACGTATAGATTTTGTCTCTCACTGTCAAGTCCACTTCTGCGCTCAGCTCGAACCTAACCAGCTATGTCGCTCAATATGCAATCAGTGTTTGTTCGCAGTTACCATGACTACTGATTACCGCCCAAATGGTAATGTGTGCCAAAATACAATGTTATTTTCCTCATTACGTCCAGTAACACGAAAGTAAGTAAATTCCAATATCATCCCCTTCGAATTTCCCACAGCAAAATGCAACCGTATACTGAACCAAGGCGTTGGCTCGAAACCAACCATAACTTCTGACTTACCCTTTTATTCCTGTAGAAGTCGTCCATCTCTTCCAGTGGGGTGCCGGTGTATCGTCTGGAACAGAATCTGTTAATCAGAGGGGGGATCAATTTCTTTCCTGTGGCGAAGATTAGGCTAGGCTTTTCAGGCAGCTCCGGTTCGTCCTCATCTTCCTTAATTTCTCGATCCTCTTCAAGGGCTTTCGTTGTTTTAACTCTTTTAGCCCCCGGTTGCGTACGACCCTGATCGAGCGTTTCGCTGACTGCATCTGTCGAAATTAATGCAATGGAGGTCGCACGGACACCATCTTCAGGTTCTTCCTCCTCATCGATATTGATTTCGCCCTTTTCTATTACATTTTGCAACCATTCTTTTCTCCGGCGACGCGTTCTTTGTTTCTCTAAAAAAATATTTATCATCAAGAATAGAGCATTCGGATGTTTCCCTCTTTCGCCTCAGTTGGGGGAAGAGAATGCTAATGATGAACTTCAAAAGTTTCTTTTGACGGGTAACATGGAATGAGGTATATGCTCACGAACTCTGTGCTGCAACTGCAA